TAATAAATATTTAGTTTAAATGTTAAAGTTGTCTCAGACTCTTCCCGCGGGACCGAGCATAATCATAACTCTGCAGCGCATCTATTCTGCTGCCTGACCGCGCCACATTCCTGAATGGTTGAGTGAAGCTTCTACGGCGGAGAATACAGCATTTTCAATAACTCTCCTCAATGAGCGAAATCCAAGCATCTGGGAGTTTTGGTGTCATCCTATAAACAAAATGGAGAAATATAACCCAACCTCCCCAGGCTTTTTGAGCAAACATTGCACATCGTTGTTAATAATTGCACGTTTTCACTGCCTTACTCTAATATGCGGGTTCGGGTCGGGATTGCGGATCTTGTGCCGCGCGTTAGGGTCGGGCTTGGCCGGAACTAATTGGCCCAATACTGTGCGGGTACGGGGCGGTTCGGTATTGCACGCTCGCGGGTGCGGGGCGGCGGAGCGGGTCTTGAAAATTCAGACCCGTGCAAGGATCTGCTGTCCGGTTATTTCTCCCGTGAGTTTTCTTGCCAAGCAGAATGTGCTCGTTCATCTAACAAAGGTCTTTGTAAACTGCACAAACGCAATCATTGTGCTTCCCCACTGACCATCCGTTGATTCGTCTAACTGCAAAGCGAACGTACCAGACGCCTTAACGTTTTTCCAACCACTTGGTCAGATAATTTCAATTCCCATGTCATCGATCCCGATGGCACACAGTATCATTTGACAAACGGCACTATCCTTCAGGACATCGCTGCTTTCTTTATCGCAAACATCAGTTCTGACGAGAATTATAGCCAGCAGGCAAGATTTAGCTCTTCGGCTATGGTAAATGCTTTTTCGATTTAGCAACCGAGTAGCCGACACGGCACCAGATGCTCCCAAGGCCTTGCGGTTGAGACCGACTGTCGCTTTCTTTAGTTTTTCTTGCTTCCCTTAAATTCAGCCAGCTTTTTGGTGGGAAAAACTCTGGCAGGTTACAGAGGCGGATGCATCTAGTGACTAAGGTCCGATGTAATGGACATGGTTTTCATGCTCTTATTAGAAAGCACGTCGCCACAGATGAAACCACATTGGCTGCGGTGGCTCCTGTATCGTTGTGACCGTAAACCGGAGAGCCACATAACAATGTTCACCAAACTGACAGATTCTTCACCTCTCTCGTTTGTCATTTTTCTTGACGAAGGATTCTCCTGATTCGCAGTATCACCTGTGCCTGTTGTTTCGTGGATGAACCAGCTCGACTCCAGCCAGTATGATCCTAATGATTATGTTACACAGAATGTTGATCTCAAATCAAAACACAGCGCAATTCAATTGATAGGGATGTTGATATTTTCTACTAGCAAGAAAACCAGCGCGCCACTACAATGCATGAATGGATGATGATGTAACCCTGACAGTCCGGCGGGAAGCCTGAAGCCGCGCCAAATAATAATCATCTTTAGCAGCAAATTCATTTCTAATTAATTATGAATGACCCCAAATATATATTGAGATTTTACATTATATATATATTACAAGTTATAATATCATTATATCATATATTTAGAAGTACAGTTTTCTGTCCTGTAAAAATAAACTTAAAAAATCTAAAATCAAATCTTTTTTTAAAATCTTTTCTTTAACTTTTCAAGAATCTTTCTTTCACGTACCCTGGGGACCACCTGTACCCACTCAGGGTCCGCGTACCCCCGTTGGGAAACACCTGATTTAGAAATGATCCAGAAGGGGATTCGGGGAGCAATGTCATATGGTCAGGTGAAACCAAATACAACTTTTTTGGTAAAAAATCAACTAGACCGTGGTTTGGAGGAGAAAGACATAGCTGAGTTGCTCCAAAGAACACCATACCCTACTCGTGCAATGGGGTGGGAACATCATGCTTTGGGGCTGTTTTTCTGCAAAGGTGACCATGACGATGATCCCGTGTAAAGGAAAGAATGAATGGCGCGCCATGTATCGTGAGATTTTGAGTGACAACCTCCTTCCATCAGCAAGGGCATTGAAGATGAAACGTGGCTGGGTATTTCAGCATGACCAATGATCCCAAACACAACGCCCGGGCAACGAAGGAGTGGCTTCGTAAGAAGCATTTCAAGGTCCTGGAGTGGCCTAGCCAGTCTCCACGATCTCAACCCCATACAGAAAATCTTTGGAGGGGGAGTTGTAAGCCGTGTTGGCCCAGTGACAGCCCCAAAACATCACTGCTCTAGAGGCAGATCTGGCATGGAGGAATGGGCCAAAATACCAGCAACAGTGTGTTGAAAACCTTGTGAAGACTTACAGAAAACGTATTGACCTCTGTCATGCCAACAAAGGGTATATAACAAGTATTGAGATTAACTTTGTGTTAATGACCAAAATACTTATTTTCCCACCCATAATTTGCAAATAAATTCTTTAAAAATCAGACAATGGGATTTTCTGGATTTTCTTTTTTTCTCATTTTGTCTCTCATAGTTGGGAGGTATACCTAGGATGGAAAAAATTACAGGCCTCATCCATTCTTAAGTGGGAGAACATGCCCATTGGTGGCTGACTAAAAACTTTTTGCCACTATAGGTATGGGGCCCTACAATATATTTGTTCAAATATAGCATGGATAGGTCCACTTTAACATGTAATCGCGGCCGCCCCCAAAACCATCTCATCGCGTCCCCGTTGTGAACGCAGAATTATGTGGTGAAGGAATCCAAATGCCTTGGAGCAACTGCAAAAAGGAAAACCATTTTGATCGCGCTAAACTTTTCGTACCAAATAAAACTAACAACAAAAGCACTGTTTGGAAAAGTAAACCAATCCCCCCATTCCCTGAAAACTGCACATATGCAACATGTCCCCAGAGGACCTCCTTCCAATGCCGCATCACTCGAGCGCTTTTTGCCACTGGTTGCATTAACTGGAATTTTAGAGCGAAAATTTGCATCGCGTACTCATGCGAGCTTGACGAGGAATAATTTGGTGTCCAGAGTGGAGAGTAAGTCCTACATGTGCAAGTCATGAGCAAGTCTCAAGTCTTGACCTACAAGTATCAAGCAAGTCCCAAGTCACTGTGGTGATTCAAGCAAGTCAAGTCATTGCTCAGGTCAAGCAAGTCAAGTCATACGACATTCTGATAAATAAGCCCAGTTTCTGCATTTAAATTAGTTAAAAGACGGTGGTTATGAAAATGGATTCAACCCACACTATGATCTTCATTACATACACAGTTAATCATTTGAAATCTAATTTTAAACCGATGACAATCATATTAGATTCATATTAACCCCAGAACTGCAGACAATATAGCTAGGACTCAAAAAGTCTGTTCAAAAAGGCAGAATTCCAGGTAAGAAAATCATATATGGCATTTGCCATTACACATATTTAATTTAAATTCTGTTAACACTAGAACCGCCAACAGCGTCAGCACCTACATAGATATCATTTTCAAACTAAGCATAAACTAAGCAGGACGATTTAAAACTCACTTAATTGGGTTAATTTAGAAATGGCTTCAGCTTATCACCATAACAGATCAAAAAGTTCAAATTCATTTTTACAATAAATCAAGGAATGATGCACTTCTACAAACAAAAACAACATAATTAAAACATTAAACAAACTACTAAAAGTAGATGATCTACATTATTCAACAGTTTACAGTAACTTCTGATAATAACACAGGGGAAATAAACGAGGCATCTCTTTTCCTCTCTCTCTCTCTCTCCTGACAGCCCGTCAGTATCAGGGTTAGTACAAATGAATCCTTTGGCGGTTCTAGTGGTCATTTACCGTTTTGTCTTCTCTTTGCAATGCTTAATCGATTTGAAACCAAGTCTAACGTAGCTTAAACTTAACGTTAGCTTTCTAGCTAACACAAAACATTCACGTACCTTTCTCTGGGTTTTTTTGTAGTGACGAATGAAGTTGGATGTTGTGGTGGTCCTGTCACTGATCTTTATGCTGCAGACCCTGCATACCGCTGTTTTCTTCTTATTACAGTCATCGACAAAATAATCCTTGAATCCAAACTTGACTATTTTTGGAGTAACGCTAGCCGCTGCCATGTTAACTGACACTCCTGCCTTCTAGTGGGTTGCCAGGTTTCCGTGCATGGCACTATAATCACCCAATCACATTTCGAAAAAACTAAACGTAATATCTCACTACAAAAACAAACGGAAATATTTCATTTGAAAAAGTCAAGTCATCTGTCTCAAGCTTACTGTAAGTCAAGTCTCAAGTCAAGAATACCAAGTCAAACTCAAGTCTTTTATCAATGTTAGTCAAGCAAGTCTCAAGTCCAAAAATATGCGAGTCAAGTCATGTGACTCGAGTCCCCACCTCTGGTGTTTACTACTGTCACTCAAACTGCACTAGCGAGGAGACGGGGCTCTTCTCAATGTATATACCAACAACAACATTTTCATATTTTCCTGTGATTTCATTGTAATACGCTTATCAAAATGATGCAGAAATAATAAACATAATGATATCAGTTAGTAAAAACAATGAAATAATCCTTTGACAAGTGTGCCTTATTTGGCAGGAAGGAAACGTTTTAAATGCGTGTATTCTCAATGGAGATTGGATCGGTCAGGCTAGGCTAAGCTACTGTTGTAGCTGCTCCGCCCACACTCAAAATAGCGACATACAAACCTAAATAAAGTAGTGACTTTATTTTCCATGCCATAGACAGTGTGGTTTGTACATTTATAAACACTGTTATTGGTCCAGTTTATGAACAAATATGAGGAACCATGGGCTCTGATGGCTATGACCCAGAGCCAATGGCTGCTGTTTGGTTTTCTGATTCAGCGACGACAGGCTAAGATTCTCACTGCTGATCCTTTTTAAATGGAGAAAGACGGGGGGAGTAGAGTTCAGTATTGTATGAGAATTATTCAAACAAATGTTTATTTGGTTTCCTCCCTGTCCTCAGAATGTCTGGAGGAGTTGGGTTGTTTGATAGAGGGCTATGGGATGAATGTATGTCAGCCGACTCCAGCCAAGTCTTTGAAGGAGATTGCCGTTCACATCGGGGACAGAGACACGTCTGTCCGCAATGCCGCTCTCAATACTGTGGTGGCTGTCTACAACGTGAGCGGGGACCAAGTCTACAAACTAATAGGAAATGTAAGATGGAGAAGATATCACTGTTATCATTGTTGGGTGTCACATTACAACAACAACAAAAAATCTAATATATTTGCAATCCTTTCCAGTTGTCAGAGAAAGACATGAGCATGCTGGAGGAAAGAATCAAGCGTTCAGCGAAGAAGGCTGCTGCAGCTTCTGCCAAGCCCAGCGCCGCAGAGAGGACCCAGAGGGAGCCCCCCGCTAACCCCAATGCCACCTTCCGCCGCAAGCCTGCACAGGAAGACCCCAACAAACTCAAGTAAGTCTGAGTTAGGGCTGTCACTGTTAGCTGGACCAAAACAAGTTGGGAAGCAGTTGATACTTGCCGAGCACAAAATACAGCATCATTTTGAGAAACAAAATAATCAGCATGAGCAAGGTGTTCATTTCAAAAAGACATTAAAATCAATCGAACGTATTTGAATTTCTTTCACCTTTTTAAAAAAAAATATCCTCCTGCTTTTGTTTTTCCATCTGTACATCTTTCGCACGGATTACAATAATAAAACACTTGTGGGCTTTTTGCTCGCACGCCAAGCTGACACAATATAATTAGTTTTTTTAGAATCTACAGTAAGCAGTTCTCTGGATATGTTTCTTTTGAGCTGGCATTGACGATATTGCATAAAGAAATTCTATAATGTATCTTAAAAAGCAACTTGCAGGTTTTTTTTAATACTAAATTTATGCTTAACCTTGCCTGAAAATTACACTTAGAAAAGTTAATGTAGGATTTGATATGTTTTACGAGACATAAGGGCAAGAATTCAGAGGGGAAAGGAGCCGTTTTTTTTTACGTCACATGGGGGAGCAACTTTCTGCCCAATCCGCGGTAGTAGTTTGTAGTTGGTTTGAGCGGTTGTTATTTAGTGAGCTGGTATTTTTTCGGTAATTTTACATTGCATTTCACCATTTGTAATCATGGTGAGCTTGTGTTTGTGCAGGTTGCACAAACTCCAGCCTGTCAGGACATCGAGTCCACATTTTCCCAGGAAAAGTACAGGAAAAGGACCGGAGCTAGCTTTCGTTCCTGGGTGCGTTGTGCGAGGTGCATCCACCTCCCTGCAGCACATACTCTCCACAGCTGAGGCCTATCAAACAAAACGTTTATCAGGAAACCGTATTACATCTCTCTCCCCCCATTCGTTCCTCTCTCTCTCTCCAGGCCTCTCGACTAACTTTTTTCACCATCCTCCCGGAACCGTCCCGAAATACAATCTAAGCCGTCCCGAAATTAATGTGGACCGTCCCGAATATAAAACATTAGTTTTTCTACATTATCACTAGTTAAAATCATTCAAAGTGACCTTTAACATAAATAAAACATCATATCATTAGATGATAATTCATCAACCTTTTTATTTGAGTAAATCAGTCAATCACATGAACAAAGGACAAATATATTTAAACAAACACACAAACGAGAAAATTACTCTAATATTGAATCAAATCAAGTCCGATCCAATTAACAAAAAAATCCAACAATCTGTCCTGAAGACAGAACCCAGAGTAACCACTAACCAGGATGACAGTCTGTAACACAGTCAGGAGACCTTTACAAACTGCCCCGCCCCCTCGCACACAGACGGGAGAGAGAGATCTCGTCTGGATTGGAAAGCTCGAAAATACATCATAGACGCATGTTGTAGTCTTATTGCATTTTAGAACTGGAGTTGGCTAAACTAAAACTGTGATATAATGTTTATGTAGCAATAATACATATGACATATGTCTCCAGTACCGATAAAAAGTCAGATAACGTCGGAGCTAACGTTACCACTGTCTTTAATAATTCTGGCCCGGGCGGAGCCCGTTTAATACCGGGGCTCGGTACCCATCCATACATAGGGAGAGGCGCAGCATATTGCTAAGGCCTAAATACGATGGAGGGTTCTCATCTCAGCCTTATTACCCATAGTAGGGGATGAAGGGGAGTAAGTAAATAAAGAGGCCGGTGCTCCAGGGTCTGGTTCTGCTGTGCGTTTTTGTGATGTAACGGTAAAACATTTCAGAATTCCTCCACGGGATACCATTGTCATTTTACATCACTCAACCCGCGAAATACACACACTCAGTACTTAGCTAGACCCGCGAATTTGCGGGCCAGGAATTCGCGGGCGCAGCCAGCTGTGCGACTGGCTGACAGCCAGCGGCGCAGCCAGCTGTGCGACTGGCTGACAGCCAGCGGCGCAGCCAGCTGTGCGACTGGCTGACAGCCAGCGCGCAGCCAGCTGTGCGACTGGCTGACAGCCAGCGGCGCAGCTGTAGCTACGTACTGTGTGTGTGTGACAGCCCAGCGGCGCAGCTGTAGCTACGTACTGTGTGGTGTGTGTATTAATCGCGGGTTGCTAAAATGTTTTGTGCAGTGTGTTTATGTTGACAAGGAGGTTTTAATAACTGTGTGCTACACAAAACGTGCTGTCCGGTTTCATTTTAATCGCCCGTTTGTAAGTGAGTGTACGCAGGGTATTCTTTTATTTTTAACTCTCGTCCAGATTCGTCCAAAATAATTTTTTATCCTCCCGACACTATTTTTTTCGACCGACGGGGACACTTCCTTAGCTCTGAGCCCCTGCCTCATCGTCTCCCTTCGCTCCTCTCTCTCCTCTCCCCTCGGTACACAGCACCGTAAGACGTAGTGTGGAGTGTGCACTTCAGCGTAACGCGAGATACGGCTGTACTTGCGCATTCGTTTCTGGACCAAAACGCAGGAAAACGGCAGAAGTGTTGAAAAGGGTTTATTAGGAGAGTGGGCAGTAGAATCCGCTAGAGTCGGCGAGGAACGTGGCGCTAGGTGACGGGCAAACACGGCGGTCGGAAGAATGATCCTGGAGCACAAGAAGAAAACCACGTTAGACGCTAAAACTATCCAGGTATGAGAATAATAGCTATAATGCTAAGTAGGCTTGAAGTTATGATCCACTGTGGTTTTACAATGATCTGGCGAAGAAGGTTGTGGAGCTCCATTTGTATGCCGTTGTAAAATGCTTGATGGAAAGCAGGTGTGTAGTCGGCGCTCCGGGGAGGGTGCACAGCTGATTGCAGCAGGTGAAGTGGAGGTTGAGCCGGGAGCAAGGATGACAGCCACACGCCCACACATGACAACACAGACAGGGGGACAAGCAAAGGAGACGGAAGGCTGAGGAGTACAGCCACACAGGCGTTTACTAATGCAACTCCACACTACGTCTCACGGTGCTGCTGGGGGGAGAGGAGACGAGCCGCAGTGAAGGGGAGAGAGAGAGCAGTGGAAGGGGGAGAGAGAGAGAGCAAGAGGGGGGGGAAGAAGACGATGTAATACAGCGTTTCCTGCCTAAACGTTTTGTTTGATAGGCCTCAGCTGTGGAGAGTATGTGCTGAGGGAGGTGGATGCACCTCGCACACGCCACCAGGCGGAACGGAAGCTAACTCCGGGTCCTTTTCCTGATAAGGGAAACCTGTGGACCGATGATCCTGAGAAGCTCACCATGATTCAAAATGGTGAAAATGCCATGTAAAATTGACAGAAAAAAATACCGCTCCTAAATCACGACAACTACAAATCGTACTACCGCGATTGGGCAGAGAAGGGATCTGAGAAAGTTGCTCCCCATGTGACGTAATATGAAGCGTTTGACGTAGGAGTTAAAAAAAAAGCCAGTTTTTGTAGCAAGCTCAAAACGGCTCCTTT